GAGAGAGAGAGAGAGAGAGAGAGAGAGAGAGAGAGAGAGAGAGAGAGAGAGAGGAGGGAGGAAAGAGATAACGATATTCGCGGCTGAACGATACTGTAAAAGTTGATAAACGGTAAGAACTCCTGGAACAAAATAAGCGCTGAAGTCAGAGAGATATTAATAAATCTAAGACTCCGTGGAGGCGCGAGTGAGAGAGCGACATTTCGTCCGAAAAACAATCTCTCGGCTTCCCTATCGGGACATGCCACTGATGCAATATCCACACGAGTACCGCGTGTTATCTCCCGATGGCGATATCGAATTGTGTTACCGGCAGCTCTTGCCGCGCACGATATCACCGCGATTGACGCAACGTGCCACCGCCAGCTGATTGCAGTTAATTATGTATGAGAGTCCAAAAAAAGAAGGAAAAATGAGCGCGCGGCTGATAAATCGACGGACGGCCGAGCGTCACTGTTATTTCGCGTTATCGGCCAGCAGTAAATTACAGTCGGATTTTTTCTCGAATACCTCCGAGAGACGGTGTTGTGCCTCTTGAGAAACACGTTGTCGTCGCTCAGCTCTGCGACGAGAGAATGCCGCGATAAATTTTCCGCCGGGGCGAACCTCACTCCACGTCCTGAACGACGTCCCGCGTCATCGCGAGTCTGGATGAATCTGGTGGCGCGTACGTGGCGCAACACGTTCACAATCTTTTTTATCGGCATATTAAAATATTATCGAATGGAATACAAGCCGCCCCCTTCCATTCGTGGCGGCGCGTTGGTTGTTGAGCGCTTTGTACGAACAGTATGCTGCTCGAGGAACACTTATTTTTTAAAGCGAGAAGAGGAAATCGCAATTAACGCGAATTAATCTTCCGTGCCGTTCAAGTGGTTCCCCCCACACTCTTTTGTTTTTATTTAACTCCTTCGATTTAAAATTGTTGCGTGATTCATCCCAAAGAAGAGTTTTCTTTTTTTTCTTAATAAGAGCATATTTTGATTTTGCCTCTTTATTGCTATTTTCTTTGAAGAATTTCGCAAAACAGATTACAAAATATCTCATTTGCATTTGATAATCGATTATGTTTGCTGACTAATGATTTCTCTTATCAGTTTTTTAACATGGCGCAAGATATACTAGCAAATTAATTAATTTTTATAAATAAACAAGTTTTTCTTTTCTCTTGAATGTATTAATTGTCCCTATAGATATAATTGTTTTTTTATTTGTATTCATTTTCTACAAAAATTTTCCTCGTGTATCTAAATTCCAAATGAATAAATAAATAAATTTGCCATGATTTAGAAAAAATACAACAGTTCAAGTCAAAGAAGGAATTGCACATTTCACCGCGAGACTTTCCTAAACACATCACTCGAGGGATCAATTGAAATTGACGTTTATCCAATTGAAATTGGAATTTTGAGAACGTGAAATAATAACTCGTTTCTTCCCGCACGAGCTCGAAAAATCTCCAATATTCCGCGAAATGATTAATGCGGATAGGCGGAGATACGTTTGTAAGTCGCAAAAACTTACCTTGCGTAATCGTGGAAAGTTACTCTGCTGCATCGGCAAACAATCCCCGACAATCTATAGCCTTCTCGAGCGCTATTCGCTCGCTGCCGCACTAACCATTTCTTTTTCCCTTTCACAGAGAACGTGAGCATCCTCGGTTCGGACGACATGACCACATGCATAATCGTTGTCGTCAGGCATTCCGGTGAGTATTCTGAAAGCCCAGTCTCTCGCTCATTACGGAATAACGTCTTCCGTTATAATGAACGGTCGCTTACGCGATGGGAAAATGAGATCGGAACAGCATGATGGCGAGACGAGGTCTGATCGCTTAAAAATTGCTCGGTTATTATTGGCGAAGTTCGCGCGCGAATACATAAAGTTATGTACGTGGAGTTATAAGGTTACAACTGCCTCAGGTTACTGCGTGTGTTAGAAAGATATGGGATCCCGACGAGCAAAAACGACCCTTACGAAAAAGTATTACTAGTAATTACTAAAGAAATAGTGGTGATCAATCATTACTCAATGATTCAGTCATCATTTGCCGAGTTACTATACAGAGTGTCCGGCAACAACCTTCGAAGTTCTCGTGGAAGCATAATACGGATTGAGGTGAATATAAAAGTTCTATACCGTTTTGTGATATTCGCAATAATGATCGAGATATTAATTAAAAAGAGATTTGTGAATGATCACGCGAGATATGGTAGATGAGCTGTAGTGGCGACATCTACTATCGTGTGTTTGTACATTGGGTCAAACTGAACAGAAAATTCTGCTACTATTTTTCTAATAACTTTGTGAATTTTTAATTATAAAAAAACTTGTTTCACTTAACAATGATATTGATTTTAGATTTTTAAATAAATATTATAACGAACTAGAGCAAACAATAAGTTAGTTTGAAAAGTACAAGATATCAAGCAATTGATATTAATCATGAGAAAATTGATGCTTCTTTCTCGTTATTAAGGAATAATTTACAACAATAATTCATTACAAGAATCTGGTAATACATCAGTGATTATTACTGTCGCCGTAATCACTGAATTATTCTGTAGTACTAGTAATCTCTGTAATTTAAGTACTCAAAATCATTAGCCGCTCGTAATGAAACTACTGAACAGTAGTAATTTATTACTGACCTACCAGTAATACTTTTCTGTAAGGAAAGGAGTGGAAAAAAGAAATTTTAACGGGAAATACCGCCTACTTTTAAATTAGTTGCGGGGCTAACGAGCAAAAACCCCTGGAAAATATTACTAAATTGAGTGCTGCGCGACGTCCGTAATCGTCTCTTGGTCTTCCCCGTTACACTGCTTTTTATTACCATCGTCCACAGTCGCGCACAATGGATCTACTTCTTGTTCGCACGATCGTTGACTCTCCTTCATGACACAACGATTAACGCAACGCGAGATGCGAAACGCCACTCCTTTCGGAAAGACGAGCCGTTTTAATGGAACCAGTTCCGCTTGCCCCAGCTCGAGCAGGAGAAAAATGCTGACTCACCTTACGATTGACATCCATATCACGGAGTCATTTAAATGCCTCGTTGATCTCACGATATCGCGTTTAAAGAGCCTCGCGGAAATAATATCGATTCATCGATAGTTCGATATAATAACGAGTTGCTCGCACGGTCCTTTATAAGATCTTTGTACCGTCTAAAAAAATGTCTAAAAGAAATAAGACGTTTTTTGGGCATATTTAAGACACTTTTAGTAGATTGTGTCTATAGGAGGCTGTTATTTGCCATTTTTCCTTCAACGTTATTGAGTATCCAGAAACGCTTTAATTATGCATTTATTCTTCATTTATTATATATACACCGTGCGAGAAACATATTTGCGCCGCTGTAATGTCTCGTGCATGGAGAAAAATAATTTGCCCAGCAAATTTTCTGTTGGTCTAGCAAAATCTTTTCGTTATTATCTGGATAGCAAAAAGATTTGCTAAGAGTACTAATCACTATTTACTAGATATAATTTGCTAAATCTACAAATTATTTTGCTATAAGAACCACGATAGATTTATATAAGCAGTTGTAGTTTTGCTTCGATAGCAAATAAATTTGCTAAGGATTATTTTGCATCAATAGCAAATTAACGTGATTCTTAGAATAAATACATTCAACAAATTTTTTCTATCCTGGCAACGAAACTACTTCTGCTCTGATAATAAATAATTTATAAAATTAGTTACGTTAACTAAATATTTTTGATGTTACTACGAATATGTAATAGCAACGACGATTTTACTAAAAGAGCAAAATTATTTTTCTCCGTGTGTACATAGAAAAAAATAATTTGCTGGCCCAGTAAATTTCCTGCCGGTCTAGCGAAATTTTTTCGTTATTATCTGGACAGCAAAAAGATTTGCTAAGAGTACTAATCACTATTATACTGGATATAATTTGCTAAATCTACAAATTATTTTGCTATAAGAATCACGATGGATTTATATAAGCAGTTGCAGTTTTGCTTCGATAGCAAATAAATTTGCTAAGGATTATTTTGCATCAATAGCAAATTAACGTGATTCTTAGAATAAATACATTCAACAAATTTTTTCTATCCTGGCAACGAAACTACTTCTGCTCTGATAATAAATAATTTATAAAATTAGTTACGTTAACTAAATATTTTTGATGTTACTACGAATATGTAATAGCAACGACGATTTTACTAAAAGAGCAAAATTATTTTTCTCCGTGTGTACATAGAAAAAAATAATTTGCTGGCCCAGTAAATTTCCTGCCGGTCTAGCGAAATTTTTTCGTTATTATCTGGACAGCAAAAAGATTTGCTAAGAGTACTAATCACTATTATACTGGATATAATTTGCTAAATCTACAAATTATTTTGCTATAAGAATCACGATGGATTTATATAAGCAGTTGCAGTTTTGCTTCGATAGCAAATAAATTTGCTAAGGATTATTTTGCATCAATAGCAAATTAACGTGATTCTTAGAACAAATACACTCAACAAATTTTTTCTATCCTGGCAACGAAACTTCTGCTCTGATAACGAATAATTTGTAAAATTAGTTACGTTTAAAAATTAGTTAAATTAGTTAACTAAAATATTTTTTATGTCACTACGAATATGCAGCAGCAACGACGATGTTGCTAAAAGAGCAAAATTATTTTTCTCCGTGTACGCTCGAGATTTCGTTGAAATTGTTGCACGACTGTGTCTCAACCAGCGCATCCGTTTTCTGCGGCTTGACGTTTATAACTACTTATAACAGATATAAATCCCGGAACTCCATAAATGCTGCCTTTTCCGAACAATAACGTATATTTCATCCCGCCGAAGGGGCCCGTCACGTCGCACCGTCCACCCTGCGTACGTTTCGACGAAACTGTCGAGCGTCGCGACGCGACGTTCTCCTTCGCGCTTTCTCCCGCGGCGAGACGGCGCATCGCGACGGCGACGATGCACAAGCTGCTGGGTGTCTCCGATCGTCTTAAGGTTGCGCGTGAATAATGGCCGGCGTAGAAAGTGACTTCGAAAGTACGTAATTAAGTAACCGCGTGATATAAAAGTCCTTTTATCGTGCCGGACCGCGACGAGTTTTCTCCGTTGAAGTCGCCGCTTTGCGCTCGCAACGCCGCGTAAATTTGATTATTATTAATTATTGTCCGCTCCTCACCCATTCTCTTGAAATTAAGGCTCCTTGTGTCTCGCCGGCTATGTCGAATTTGTGATGTCAGAAGCGAGGAATGATATATACTGACGCGTGCCATTTCTGAATAAAAATAATTATAGAACGAAAGAACATTTCAGATTGCACTTTTGTAAAATTGTCCGAAATCTCTTTCCTCTGATGATCAATAAATAGTAATAAATGATGAAATAAGGCATGTGAAATGATGAAATGAGTCTGCCTACCACATTTCAGCATTTATTATACGACTGTTATTAATTGTCAGGGGAAAGGGACTTTTCAAATAAGAAAATATACATTTTCTCGAAACCTTAAGAAAACCTTAGCTTTTCATGAGCAAGTGTTAATTCCACTTAAACAAAAGAATTTACTTGCAAGCACAAATATGTTATTAGTTATTAAATAAATATTTATTATTTGTGGATATTTTGTTAGTGTGCGAAAAATTAAAGGACAATAGATTACTGCAGAATGTCGACCCTCGGTTAAAAAACCCTACAATAATTTTACTATAGAATTCTTTCTCCGTGTAAGTGCCTACAACTGACTTTTTCACCGTTCTCTATTTGTCCCTCCGGTTACGTTGATCCCGTGAAGTGTCGCACTTTTCCAAATAACGCTCTCCCTCGTAACGCAGTCTACTCGCGACGCTAATTATGCCGCGAGAACACGAACTAATGTGCTGGCGGTCCTTCAGAGTCATCGCCGCACTCGATTGCGAGAGACTAGTTAGGAGATTGCGAAAACGCTCACTCGCGTGTTCTAACTACTTCGCCACTACCGTCGTTCTTATCGTCGAGAGTTGTAACGATAAATCGCATCGAACGAGTCGAGGAGATTCGATCTTAAAGGCGCGACGCGCTCGGGCATTCCGCGCTAAGTCGTTTCGGTGCATCGTGCAAGCGCCTTTTGGCCCTCTCCTCCGTTCGCAACGATGCAGTAAACGGCGAGAGAGAGAGAGAGAGAGAGAGAGAGAGAGAGAGAGAGAGAGAGAGAG